CTATATAATGAAAACTACAAGACATTATTGAAAGAAATCAATGATGACATAAAGAAATGGAAAGACATCCCATGCACATGGATTGGAAGAATAAACATAGTTAAAATGTCTATATTACCTGAAGCAATCTAAGGATTCAGTGCAATCCCAATCAGAATCCCAATGATAGTCTTCCCAGAAATAGAAAAAAGAATACTAAAATTCATATGGGGCAACAAAAGACCCCGAATAGCTAAAGCAATCCTAAGAAAAAAGAACAAAGCTGGAGGCATCACAATGCCTGACTTCAAAACATACTACAAAGCAATAGTAATCAAAACAGCATGGTACTGGTACAAAAACAGACACACAGATCAATGGAACAGAATGAAAGCCCAGAAATAAAATGACACATATACAGACAGCTAATTTTCACCAAAGGAGCTAAGAACATACAATGGTGAAATGAAAGTCTCTTCAATAAATGGTGTTGGGAAAACTGGACAGCCACATGTAAAAGAATGAAAGTGGACCATCTGCTATCGCCATTCACAAAAATTGTCAAAATGGATCAAAGACCTGAAGGTGAGATCTGAAACTATAAAACTCATAGAAGAAAATATAGGCAACACACTATATGACATTGGTCATAAAGGAATCTTTTTGGATGCCATACCTACTCAGACTAGAGAAACTAAGGAAAAAATAAGCAGGTGGGACTTTATCAGATTAAAGAGCTTCTACAAGACAAATGAAACCAGAATCAAAATGAACAGACAACCCACCAGCTGGGAGAAAATATTTCCAAAACATATATCTGACAAGGGGTTAATCTCAGTAATATATAAAGAACTCACATAACTGAACAACAAAGAAACAAACAACCCGATCAAAAAATGGGCAGAGAAAATGAACAGACACTTCTCCAAAGAAGATATACGGATGGCTAATAGGCACATGAAAAGATGTTCAACATCACTAATCATCAGGGAAATGCAAATCAAAACAACACTAAGATATCACCTCACCCCTGTTAGAATGGCTATAATCACCAAGACAAAGAACAACAAATGTTGGAGAGGATGTGGAGAAACAGGAACCCTCATACACAGCTGGTGGGAATGCAAACTAGTGCAGCCTCTATGGAAAATGGTATGGCGATTCCTCAAAGAATTAAAAATAGAAATATCCTATGATCCCGCTATCCCACTACTGGGAATCTATCCAATGAACCTGAAATCAACAATCCAAAGAGGCTTATGCACCCCTATGTTCATTGCAGCATTATTCAGTATAGCCAAGAAGTGGAAATAACCCAAGTGTCCCTCAACTGATGATTGGATCTAGAAGATGTGGTGTATATATATATATATAATGGAATACTACTCAGCCATAAAAAAAGACAAAATCGTCCCATTTGCAACAACATGGATGGACCTGGAGGGTCTTATGTTAGGGTCTTATGTTAAGTGAAATAAGCCAGAAAGAGAAAGACAAACACCGTATGATCTCACTCGTATGTGGAATATAAACCAACACATGGACAGAGAAAACTGTGTTGTGGTTACCAGGGGCAATGGGGTAGGAGGTGGGCACCAGGGGTGAAGGGAGACATGTATATGGTGATGGACAAACAAAAATGTACAACCCAAAATTTCACAATGTTATAAACTATTAAAACATCAATAAAAATAAATAAATAAATATTAGATAGGGTTGAAGCCCCCTTTATTCAAGAGGAAGTCATTAACTAAACTATGTAAAATTATCTAAAATTTGAAGTTTTAGCATTCCTAATTTATGTATACAATGTATCACAATTTTGCACGTTAAAAAACTTATATAGGGATTGGCCCCGTGGCATAGCGGTTAAGTGTGCGCGCGCCGCTGCTGGCGGCCCGGGTTTGGATCCTGGGCACACACCGACACACTGCTTGTCAGGCCATGCTGTGGCGGCATCCCACATAAAGTGGAGGAAGATCAGCACGGATGTTAGCTCAGGGCCAGTCTACCTCGGCAAAAAGAGGAGAATTGGCATGGATGTTAGCTCAGGGCTGATCTTCCTCACAAAGCAAACAAACAAACAAACAAAAAACTTATATAAATTGTATCATACTGTAAGAAAAAAAAAAGAATCCAGTTCTCCTAAACTTGTGTTCTTTCCACTCTCCACTGCTGCTTCTTCCCCTTTGATGTGTTTTTATTATAAAATAAAGGTATTTCAATCTCTGGTCTTCTGCAATTCTTTTTTTTCCCCTGAAATTAATTTTACCCATTGTTGTTCACATTGCCTTCACATTCTGTGCTCTGCTCCCTCTTGTATATCCTTAGAGTTTGTAGCCTTGAAAGATCCTATCCCACTGCTATTTTGTTTTTGTTGTATTTCTGATATCTTGTATAAATCAACTCTTATTTCCTGCCAAGCATTCGAACACATGCATCCATTTTGTTCTTCAGGCTTTTATTATTGATATCAACATATTTATGTTAACTAGTTAGCTGTCTGATTTGTTGGATTGTCTTGTCTTGCCCCCTCATTTTTCTAAGCAAACGGTAGAATTCTTTCCCAGGCACTTAAGTTGTTAGTCTGGGTTTCATTTTGACTTCCCCTATTTTTAGTGAAAATATACTTGTACATCTTTTACTGTTTTGTTTTGTTTTTGTTTTACTATGGCAGAAAAGTCCAGGGCCTCTGTTTGAACAGAGTAGCATATTTTCCCAGAATACTTAGAAAGAGTAAGGAAGTAGTGAAAATTAAGATGGCCTGGGAGACTGAGGCTGTAGTGTCTGGGCAGTGACCATAGAGAGGAAGATGTTTGTCCTAATTTAGGAGACCAGTAAAGAATTGATGATTTGGGGCGGAATGGTGATAAGAGAACTGTGCTTAGGAAAGTAATTTGAGCCATGAGAAATCAGATGAGTAACAATTGAAGGTCTTCTGGACACCAGGGGCTAAATAGAAAACCATTACAATATTTAAGTTACACCAGCCAGATGCAGCTGAAATGTGACGATGCCGGTGGAGATGGAGACCAGTAGCAGGTAGATGTAAGAGCTGTTGAGGAGATGACATAGCTAAGAGGCTGCAGGGTGACTCTGAGTGTCAAGGACGTTCTAGTCATGTGAATGTCCTGCTCGTGGTGTCCCAAAAGCCCATCCAGCAGCTCGTGCTGTGTAGCCCTTCTGCTTCAGTGGTCCTCTGAGGAACTGCCTTTATGAAGTAAGGAGCTCTTTGCATCAAAGGGGTAGGTAGACAGCATTGTCCTATTTTATTCACTCTGCTTGCATTCCCATTAACTCTTCAACAAAACAAAAAATCAAGCCTTACTAGTTCTCCCTGCTCCCAATTGCTTCCTACCTAGATTGCTTGGGGGACACAGTACTACAGGCTGCTTTCTTATCAAGCAGTTGGCAATTAGGAGAGGCTCTGGGAGGAAAGGTGGGGGATGCTGCTTAACATCCCCATCAGAATGGAATTGCTGACTGGGTTAATTGGGTCACTGATTTGCAGCAGAACTTAGATTCTCTTGCAAGAGGGTGTGTTTCATGTTTAAGCTTCCAAGGAGTGGTCCCTACTCTGTGTGCTGCATCTGCCTTCCTGTCATTCGCTGCATTCGACTGCTTGATGGACTCGCTGATGGAGTGCAGACGTGTGTTTACATTCTAATGAATTGTTGTCTTGTACCTGCTCTTTCCCAAAATGCTCTGTGGGATAAACTACCTTGTAGACAAGATTCTTCACCATGTGATTGTTCTGTTTCTTTAGAGACAACAGCAGTATAATGCGTTAGATGCCAGATCCATAGAGAAAGAAGAAGCATTTGCTACAGAACGTAAAGGTTTGATAGCTTTTCCTTGCCTTTGTGTTTTTGCTGCTTGAGCTGCTGGGCTGATGATGATTGTGTGTATTTTCGGCAGGATGCTAGAGCCTCTGGAACTTCCCAGGCAGTTATAAAAAGGAGAAGCCCACTGTATCTTTTCCTGTCTGGTTAATTGTAAAAATACTTGAGAGTCAGCCTGTCTTCTATAATAATGTATTTGTTTCCATTTTTGAAAACAGATTTCAGTAATGACTACATGAACAGGTCAGGAAATGACATTGCATTTCATTGACCTCTCTGTGAGTGGTAACTTGTTGAAGTATTTAAGTTGTCATTTTGTCTCCTCTTTCTAGAAATATAGGCGTTGACATCTGTATAAAGTACTGACAACTTTCACTCTAAGTTTAATGAACAAGGAGAACAAAAAAGGAGGGATTCATCGTGGAAACGTTTTTAAAATAAAATAGTACATTTCTGTTGATTTAGTTATCTGTTTTGGAAGACCCTTTGCCTGCTTTTTCAATATAATATTGAACTGAGAAATACTACTAAATAATTTGCTAATTATTGCCTCATTTTATAATTCTGTCCTTTTCCAGAACTAAAGTGAGATACCTGGATTCCTCTGGGTGTCTTTAGATGCTGTTTAGTGGTGAAAGTTCCATGTAAGAATGTGTTTGTGGTAAACCTTTCCTTCCTGAGAAATATTTAATTTTAAGTCTTATACCACAAACGACTGTGTTGAACTGCTAGCAATAGAAATTGAGACACATGTGTCTGTTGATAGGTCTTTTTTACATTAATGATTTAATTACAATGTGTTTAGATTAATAGTTGGTTTTGGAAATTTTCAGTCTTTTCTGTTGGTTAATTAATTGTCAATGACCAATAAAGTAAAATGTACTTTCCAGAAGTCAGAGAAACCTCATTGTAAATATGTAATGTGATATTTATACTATATTTACAGTACCATATGGTTATTTTTTTAACCTTATGGTTTTCCAAAAAGCAGTTTTGTTTGTTTGTTTAACTTCTTTGCATTGGCAGATAACCATAGAACCTAGTAGAGTAACAGGAGACAGTTAGTCTGGTACATAGAAGTAAATAAAGAACAAAACATCACGCTACTCAAGGAGGATAAAAATGATCCACACTTGTTGTAACTGTTGTTTAGAGGCAGGGTGCTTTTTGAGAGAGTGATAGAATCATAGAGATTAAATGGATCGTAGAATCTTCCCTCCTTACTATTTCACCAGAGCTACCCTGTGCCATTATTTTAGATCCATGTAAATCCCATATATCCTCTTCATCATAATGGAATAATTAAACTGGCTTTCTTATATTAGATCACATATTGTTTCAGTGTGGGGGGGGTCTGTGAATAGCTTTATGGGTTACTAAATTTTGGAGGTTAGTGACCAAGAAGAGAGAAACAAACACCACCTTCATCCTAAAGCAGTGTTCATGTGGACTGATCACCCCAGCAGAAATCCAGAAGTGCCTGGATCCTGGACAGTGCCATTTGACACTTTAATTTTGAAGAAAGTTCATCTTTAAGTAAGTGAATATTTTTCACTGATTTGCTCTGCAACCTTTTTCTGAGAACAGTACTGTCTTCTTTGGAGCATTTGTCCTCTCTCAATCCTAACTGTGTTGTTCTAAGAGGACTACCAATCAAAGTATTGGGCCCTCTGTCTACCGGAGTGGGCAGATGGCTCAAGGCGGGTCATTTTGAGTCTTTTCTGGGAATTTCAAATTGGAAAGAGGGGAGAGGTTTTGTTCTCCACTGGTGAAGCTACAGTATATTAGGCAGAAGCTGTTTTTTGTTAAGTGTAAAAAGTTATGAGATCTGTATAGACTCTGACCCCAAATGAGATCTCAGCAAAGATAACAGCAAAGGTCCTAATGACATTCCAGTGTCCTGGAAGCCAGCTACGCTGCCACCCTTCATGAAGTTTACTCATAAAGTTAATTATCATTTAGTTATGATACTCAGTAAATTCCTCTTTTTTCTTTTTCCCTAAGCTACTTCAAGTTAGATTTGAAGCCAATGGTCCTGAAGTAGGGCAGTGTTTCTCAAACTTCAGAATTTATTCTTCCTTGGGAACTCTAGTCTGAAAAATTCATTTGGATAATGCAAAGATGCCTGGGTTAGGATGATGTCAGTGGATTTTATCTATTCATTGGCTTTAGAACCAGATAAAAGTGGGTTCCAGTACTGGTTCTGCTGCTTACTGGTTTTTGTGACGTTGAGCATGTTAATTATCCTCTTTGACCTTTATTTCTTTACTTGTAAAATAGGAATACCATCATGGGTAATTGCAAGAATTCACATAATGTTTCTGAGGACCTTGCTCAATGTTAATACGGTGCTCATACTCAACAAATGTCAGTGCATTACCCTTTCCCTCCCAGCCCTCTCCAGTGTTCTAAAAGTAAAGAAATATAGCAAAATACACAGCAAATATTATAACTGTTAACTTCATAGGATTTTTCATATTCTTTGGTTGTACTGGTCTTTCGTTAATTATTTGAAATCATTAAGTTGTAGTCTCTGTTATAAATGATTTTATACATTTTTGGTTGTAAATGATAATTGTCAAATCAGATTTGACCTAAAAGTTGTAATAGGTTAAGCTAAACCTTAAAAGCCTGTTGTTGCCATGACTGATGATTATGAGGACTAATTGGATTATAAACTTCTTGTGGGCAGGGAAGATCTTCAACTTATTTTTGATTTTTGTTTTTCTCAAAGCCCCTAACAGTGCTAGGCATAAATAAGCCGTGGATTTTTTTGTGTACTAATAAGGCCCTTGTTTATTTAAATAGAGTTTGTAGTAATCAGAAGGACTTTATGGAGATACAGAAATTTGAGGAGCCATTTCTCTGATAAGAGAAGAGAGAAAGAGTGTATCCTTGACAAATCTATGAAGAAGGACATTCCAGGATAGGTACCTAGGAGAAGATCTGAAATCAAGAGCTTAGAAGAAGCGAAAGAACCACTTGCTTGAAAGATGTGGAGGTCCTGAGTCCTTTGATAGATAAAAGACTAAAGTAGTCTACAGTGCGGGTTTTGGATTTGTCTTCAAGTATGGTGAAATCTGCTGCATAACCTTAAAGATGAGAAAAGTATGATCAAAGTGGGTAGGGAAGATAATTTCAGAAGCAACACAGGTATCTAGGATTGAAGGCAAATAGCTGGCTACAAAAATTTTAATAAGTGGTTAAATGTATTTAACTAGTGTGGTTAAGTACCTCATATGTAAAGCATTGTTCTGGGGAATACAAAAAAAGTAATCAAGTAAATGAGTAATCACATCTTTTTCCCTTTCACACTAATAGTGATAAACAGACCAAAAAATCTGCTAAAAAGTCCCTAAGTGTGTGATTGGCAGATGGCTGTCAAAGTAAAAGAGAATTGCAGGACTGTAACCTTAACCTGTACAACTAAAAAATATTCTGGGAGGAAAAGCAAGATAATGAGCAAATACTTTTAAAACTATAGGGTAGGGGTTGACTTCCTACAGAAGAAGTTTTGTCAAGGGGCCTACGCAAGAGTGACAGCCCTTACAGGTGCCCAAGATCTCAGTCGTCCTCTCGGGCTTCAGAGTTGGCTTTGTTCATTTGTCCCTTTATTCACTCACAATTTTTAAGTAGAAATTTTGCTTAAACAACAATAACATTGTACTTTAACATCCGTGGTTAGAGTCCTATCCAGAAAGTGTTTACCCCTGGATCTAAGTCAACTTAGAAAGCCAAAACAAGTAATTACACTCAGTGTTGGTCCCGATCCCAGTGTTAAACTTTTTTTTTTTAATCAGCAGTCTGGTTGATATAATAATTTGCTCATTAAGTGCATGTATTTTGTTAGGCTGAGATGAGGAATCCAAAAGATCTTTTAAATTAAGATTAGATTTTAATAAATTAGCAATGTGTTTTTGAAGGAAACAATTCATACTAGCTTATCTAGTTTTCCTTGGGGCAGCCTAGAGGTAGTTGAGAATGGGAGCTCTGCAACCGAATGGTTTGAGTTCAGATGACATTTATAATAGAGTTCTAATGATGTGGTAGGGGAAAGAATAAATCAGCCAAGAACTATACTCTGGGGCTGTTATTGTTTTACCCTCCTATAGAGACAACTTTGCAAGAACTATGATCTAACGTCATGCGATTGGTTTTGATTTCTAGACTAAACAGTCTTAAGTAAGTTTTTCTAGAAGTGCAGCAGCCAAAGGTGAGACACTACACCGTAGTGATTAAGAACAGGCTCAGGAGCTGTACTGTCTTGGTTGAAATCCTACTCCTGCCACAATCGGGCTGTGACCTCAGTACATTACTTCTGTCCATGCCTTAGTGTCTCCATCTGTAAAATAAAGATAATAATAGTATCTACCTCATTGGTGATTGTGAGGTTTAAATGAATGAATCCATGGGAAGTATTTGAACTGAGTTTGGCACATATCAAGCACTCAATTAGTATTGCTATTGTTGTTATTAAAGACACTCTCTACTCTGTTGATTCCATTAGTAAGTCACAGATGAAAACTTGCCATGGCTACAAACACTACAAATATACCTACCAAATATAACAACTAA